TAGGTGCTACAATAACAGACCCTTGTGTACATTTTCTATTTGATGGTTTCATACATGTTACAAGAAATGACCAGTAGAGAGCAGCAAAGTCTCCTATTGTCTCCTGTAAAATTAGTGAAGCAGATTTTGTGATTACTATGTGCGCTTTTCTTTTTTTAGTTCTGATGTTTACAAGATTCATTGGCTGATGGCTGCTCTTCCATTCACAAAGTCACTTTCCCTTATTTTCCATGCAGTGAGTGTTAACCTCTTTGTTTATGTGTGTGAATGTTGAAGGAAAATGCTTATATTTTAAGTAAAAGTATCTAGATTTCAAGAACATTGTTTTTATCCAAATCACACATCATAAATTAGCAAACCTTGATAGTTTTTATGAAAAACTTGCAAATTATGGGAAATGCGATTGAATTGCAGTTCCATTTTGCTCTATGAACCACACAACTGTTTTAGCCAGATACCCAAGGCAAAAAGCAGCATTACATTGCTTTTGTTTTAACTATTATATTCCTATTTTACAGATTGATTACTACTACATTTCCAATCAGGGCTTTCCTATTGAAGGCTGGGCTGTGGTCTATTATATTACTCACTTGTAAGTTCACCAGTACAAAGTGTGTGTGTGTGTGTGTGTGTGTGTGTGTGTGTGTGTGTGTGTGTGTGAGAGAGAGAGAGATATGTATGTAACTGGATAAGACGGGAATAGGGTGAAGTACTGTCATATAAGAAAACAAAAACAAAATAACGGACCGACATGTATGTACAGTTATGTTTTTGCGCTTAAGACTGGAATACATTACACAACCTTTAAAATCTGAGCAGATTTTAAAACACTGGACATCATACACCAACCAACTAAAGATCAAACACTACTACACTCTTGTCAGCTTGTCTGATATCCTTTGATTGAATTCATTGTCTGAACCTGTGCCTTTGCATTACACAGTTTTATGTGAAATCGGTCAATTTCGACATCCCAAAATCTGCACACTCACACTGGCTTTGACTTTCGGCAACTATAGCAGTGATTCTTCCAGACTGCAAATCAGGACAAAAGTCATGTAGTGTATTCCAGACTTTATGTTGGTTAGGTGGGTAGTGAACTTGTTTTTTTTGGATGAAAACCTCTGTACTGTTGTCATGATTTCTGAACCAGTAATTCAGCTAAATGTGCGTGATGTTTGATTTTGCTGAATGTTTTCATTTGTGCAGGCTGAAGGGGGCGCTGTTGTTCATCACTATAGCATTAATAGGAACTGGTTGGGCCTTTGTCAAGCATATCCTCTCAGATAAAGACAAAAAGATCTTCATGATCGTCATTCCCCTGCAGGTATTGGTCTTTTTTTTTATATATTTTTTTTTTTCAGCATCATCTTAAAGTACTGTTTCTACTAGTGTTCCCTCAAAGTGTTGTGTATGAATATGCATTAAAATCCCAAGTTTCTTTAAACCATATACAGGTCACAAAACACTAAAACACTTCGGTAAATACATTAGTACAGTGTTACACAACGTGGAAGACAATGACAGCACATGTTCGTTTTTTTTTTTTTTAAGAGAATGTTGTTAATTTTTTTTTTTTTAAAGCTCAACTATATGCTGTCCTATGATATGAATGTAATGTGATCTTGTTGGCCTTGTGATATCAGGTTCTGGCCAATGTGGCATACATCATTATTGAGTCTACAGAGGAGGGCTCCAGCGAGTATGGTCTGTGGATGGAGATCCTGTTTCTGGTAGATCTGCTGTGCTGCGGGGCTATTCTCTTCCCAGTTGTCTGGTAAGTGCTCTCCATCTTTGTCCTTTTGATGTGGCCCAGATTTAATTTTCTATACCATAAATGATATAATTTCTTAACTAATAGACCAGAGTCTGATGTCTGTATTATATCAGTAAATGGTAGGCTGTTTTGGCTTTTTATTGTTAGTAGGGCTGGGTATCGAGTTCGATGCTTTTTAGGCACCGACCGAATTGCCTCGATACTATTGAGTATCGAAAAATGTCTTGCCGTTCGGTACCAAATTTTGGTACCTAAGGGGTTAATCAAGGAAAAACACTAACGTTAGTTGTGTTCAATTTGGCGCGGCGCTGCGCAGACCGATCGGTGTTTGACATCAAAGTACCGCGAGAAAGATTCGAAAGCTTACGGAGCAGTCTGCTCTCGCAGTACTTTGATGTCAAACACTGATCGGTCTGCGCAGCGCCGCGTCAAGTTGAACACACCTACTAGTTTATGCCGACTGACGCTCAAAGACGTGGCTTACACGTGAGGCTGTAGTGTGTAAAAGCGCCCGACTCCCCGTAGATGTAAGGCTACGTTTACACTAGTGCGTTTTCGTTTTAAAACAGCTTTTTAAAATGAAAGTGTTCCTCGTCCATACTGGCGTTTCCACTGCGTAAAAGATCTCCGTCCACACTACACGACCGAAAACCACCATTGAGTGTTTGTAATAACTTCCTATCGCAATCTAATGTGTCTCTTGGTCATATAATGTTGCTGAAATATGTTATTTGTAGCACTTTATATCGGGATAATCTACTGCTTAGCTTTTCTCATGTAAACATCCTATATTGTTATGAAAATAGACAGAATCTCATGAAAATCACATGCAAATCATATACTGTCGTAATCGTGTTTATTAGCTTCATGTTTCATCCGTAGGAAAGTTTTTCTTATGTACAGAACCGAACACGGAAGTGTAATGGACGTTTGTCATTGGAGACAGGGCGGGTTATAAATTCGTAATATGATTGACATGAGCAGCAAATGAGCTTCTGCTCATCAGTAAAACAGTGGAAAATCAATATAAATGATGATTCTGTCTGAACTAGTCTGTTTTAAAATTAAAACGCACTAGTGTAAACGTAGCCTAAAAGATGTGGAAACTATTTGCACTGATTTATTGTGTTGGTTACATTTTGTTCCTTTGTATATATTTTTTTAGTACCTTTTTTTTAATTTTTTTTTAATAATGTAATCTTGTTAAAACCGATTTCATAAAATTGGTATCGAAAAAAGTATCGTTCAGAAACCGGTATCGAAGTCAAGGTATCGATATCGAAAAAAATTTAACGATACCCAGCCCTAATCGTTAGTAGTTTAGTAGTCTAAAAACAATTGTTTTTGTTTGATAGGTCCATAAGACATTTACAAGAGGCATCAGCAACAGATGGGAAAGGTATGTCAATATAACATTATCAGAGCACTTTCTGGTCAACAGTTCAGTCTGATATAAAACTTGATGATCACATGTACCATTTTCAATGGTCTTTTTTATGACCAGTTGTAAAAGACGTCAGTCTTGACTCTTGTGTCACAATGTTTAAGCCATTTTAACTGAAATATTGTGGAAAGTGCGTATTTTTAATCTTTCCGAATGTTTTTCTTGGTCATGTGTGCTGTCCTCCTTCACATTTGGCTGTTCTCTACATGCTGCCTGTTGTGACAGCAGATGCCAGGCAGCTTGCAAATGTCATAGCTCAGAGAAACCAGCCTGGGTTATGACTTTATCCTACCCACAAATCCAGGGAATGGGTAGACAGATTTGACCCTGCAGCAAGGGATCTCTGCAAATTCAAAAGACTTGGTCTTTACAGCATGAAATTGAATTGTGCTGTCTTTCAGAATGCAGCAGTTCTAGATATGCTGCTGTAGATATATGTTAACCAAATAGTAAATCCTGCCATGTAAATGCTAAACAGCTCTCACTTACAGCCTAAGTCTCAGATTTTTTTTTTTTAAAGACATTAATACTTTTATACAACAAGGATAATGTGATTTATAAGTGACAGTAAAGACATGTATAATGTATGTTACAAAAGAATTCAGTTTAAAATAAATGCTGTTCTTTTGAACTTTTTATTCATCAAAGAATCCTGAAAAAAAGAGTGTTATAGTTTACACAAAATCATTAAGCGGCACAATTGTTTCAACTGTGAAAACAATAAGAAATGTTTCATGAGCACCAAATCAGAATGATTTTTGAAGAATCATGACACTGAAGTCTGGATTAATGGTTAGTGAAAATTCAGCTTTACCATCATAGGAATAAATTAAATCATATATATATATTTTTTTAATTATAACAATATTTCAGATTATTACTTTACTGTACTCTCTTTACTGTATTTTTTATTAAATAAATGCAGCCTTGGTGAGAATAAGACACTACTTTCAAAAACTTAAAAAAAAATGAGCCAGTCAGAGTTTGGTCAGGGGTTAGTTTTTCATTCTTTTGAACAAACAGTGCATGTGTAATATGCATCTGCTAACATTTGTTACTAACATAAACAACACATAGTATTTCTCCATTGTGTTTAAAAAAAAAATAGTTTTAGGGTGGAAAAATGGATCCTGCTAGAGCTGCTCTCTTTGGCATGTGCTCTGCCACCATGCAATGCTGCCTGTTGTGACCGCAGATGCCAGGCAGCTTGCAAATGTCATAGCTCAGAGAAACCAGCCTGGGTTATGACTTTATCCTACCCACAAATCCAGGGAATGGGTAGACAGATTTGACCCTGCAGCAAGGGATCTCTGCAAATTCCATCATCTGGAAAAAAAGTCAAATTTTTTGTTGGCTTTTACGTCGAGGTAAATACTTGCATAACCTCATGTACCATTATAATTATACTGAACTGACCGCCAACTTTAGTGATCGTAAAAGGAGCGCTCTTTATTTGCTTTGTGTGATTCTGTCGCAAATTAAAGTTTTTGTTTTTCGAGGCACTTTGTGATTTCTTACTTCATACACAAAAGTGCAAAACTTTGACAAAATTTGATTTGTTGATGATTTGATATTTTATAAATAGTGGTAATTTATAATAGTTATTTTATAATATCAAAATATAAAGCAAAAAACTGGAAATGAATGACTAATAAGCCAAAAAGTGCTCCTCTGCTGCCATCTACTGGTTATAGTGGTAATTTGATGTCTTTTTTAATTTTAAATAAGTGTTTGTTTACCACAAAGTATATTTTGGTCGTTCCATTCAAAATAACATTTAAATGTGATAATTTTTTTGAGCTTTAAAGTGCTGGAAATAGTTGTGTGAAATACTTGAAAGTAGGGATGCACCGATACCGATACTGGTTAAAATGCCCCGATACCAAACGCCGATACCACACAGCATGTGATAAGCGCCATATTCAGACAAAGAAACACCGACAACAGAACAACAGACAGCAGAATGGAGTTATTAGAGATTAAGGATGTCTACGAAGTATATGTATGCAATGAATATAATGTTAGACATTCAGTATTAACACCTGTATAGCTGATGTGCGCGAGAAAATATACAGTCAAACCAAAAATTATTCAGAGACTAGATATAATATTTGATATTTTTTTTTACTAGTGGGTGCAGGACACTATAGTTCATTTATGTAAGTGAGGATAGGAAAATAAAGTAAACTGTGACAAATTATACCCAAAAATTCTTCATACAGTGGAGTACCAGTAAAACTGGTACAAATTTGGGACCAAAGATTATTCAGACCGAGTCTGGGAAAAACAGTTGAGGTTTGCATGAAGCTGGGTGACAGCATGCCCAGGAGACTACAGGCTGTCATTAAGGCTAAGGGT